TGGTAAGCAAAAGGTATCAGGCAATATTAATTGAGCCAAGGTCATCATGAGTACAACCACTAAGGCAGGGACAGGACGGCTTAGCGAATACAGCCTAGATGGCCCTATCAGCACATCCCAGACTTGGCACAGAGCATTTAAGGCAGCCTTTAATGTTACACCATACCTGTGCACTTAATTAACCTGCAATACCAATTAAACCAATACTGAATGACACAAATAAAAGGCACAATTTTTATTGCAAATGAAAACAAATTAGGAGAGTATGTGTTCAAAGTAAAAAAAAAAAAAAAAAAAAAAAAAAACAATTTTAAATGGATACAAACTCAGATTTTTTTGTGAAAAGTAGGCATGTGTCAGTGGTGGTCATAGAGTTGATGCTGAGGAATGGTAATATTAGTTGGAAGGATGAGGGAGAGAAGGAGGAGAGAGAGATGGGTAAAGAGGGACAGGAGGAGGTGAAGGAGATGGAAGAGGATGAGGAGAAAAGGAGGAACGTTTAGTGGGAATCTTAAAAACACAGATCCAGGTAGAGGTTCAGTGTGCAGTAATGGTTTGGAAATAGTTCTTTTCATAGAATTATAGTTATTTCTTGACAAAGGATTTTAGTCAAACCTTTTAAACCTAGAACAGAGTAAAAAGTGATTTATTTCAGGACCATTTTACATTTTAGCATATAGTTATAGTTGCTGTTCCTTATCAACCTACTTTGATTTCTATTATACTTTAACTTTTTTATAATGCAAAAAAAGACTTCATATTAAAACCATGGTCCCACTTGTAGGTTAAGGTCTTAGGTCTTAAACTTTCTGTAAAATGATTACCTCCCAGTTTGCAGATAGAAGCAGTTCAGGTTTTTGTTTGCTACTTTTGAAGGCGTCCCAAGTGTGTGAATCTAAGCATGTTGCAAAAACAAAAACAAGATGCCATCAGTGCTCTACACATGGTTCATTGAATCGGCCACCTCTGGGAATGAGATCAAACATCAGCAAAACCTTTCAACCAAAGAGTAGGAAAATTCGAGCCAAAGGAGAAAAACATTTAGATGGTAACAGTGATGTTCTCTTTCCTCTTTAGCTTTGAACAGCAGAGATAAAATTTAAATTAAACTTATGGCAACTGATCCTACAAATGTGCAAATGATAGTTAGATTTTAAAGCAACTACTTCAATGCCTTTTAAGACAAGAATACTTCGAAAGCAAGCTGTTTACAACTGATAAGAAAAGTAAGAAGTAAAGAATTACAGCTACAACAAAAGTGACATCAAACCCTCAAATATATAATGAAAGCTGGGACAGAGAAGAGAGGAGAAATGGTAGGAGATATAATATCTTATCACAGAAGGATTAGTAGATTGTAGATTTCAGTACTTTTTTTGAAGTCCTCTGGTTGTCTTTAAAGCTACACTCTAGATTGGTCTCTCGCATATTGCATCCTGTTTATACTCAAAGATATAAACATCTGACAAACAAAGAAATACAAACTACGTAGCTATGTAATAACTTTACAAAAGATGATAAATCAATCCTGAATAATTTTTGGCCCAGTTTCCACAACCATTAAAAAGTAGAGATCTGTACTGGTTGTCCCCCGTCCGTCTTTTAAAGAATTAAAAGAACATGGTTCTCAAAGTGTTACCCTCTTTTTTAGGTAACACTGTAGAGGAAGATGTATGATGGTGTATTAGCTCCAGAACAACAGCATAAGCCCCATTTTCACTACCCCTCTGAAAACCGATCACTGCCGAGTTCAGACCGAGCTTGGATCAGTTAACCGTGTCGAGCTTGGTTCCTTATGTCCATTTACACATCCCGCAAGCATGGCTCCATGCCTCATGGTGACGCTCTACGATACTGCTGCTAGGAGTGAAGGAGGGAATCAAGCAAATCACAATTGCGGTGTCCGCAACATTCAGGAAGTTATGTTTGGTTATAATTGTGATATTTCCTTGTCTGCTGAGAGTCAGGGGAAGAGGGCAGCAAGAGACGGCTTTTGGGAAGTGGTTATGACAAACGATAGTCTAATCATGGCTTACAGATGTAGGAAACAACGACAGACGTTGAGGTTCATCACACTGCAAAGCAGAATCACCACTGGAAATTGTACAGCATTGTAGGGAAGGTAGTATTTAGGAATGTCTGAATTTTCATGATTACGGAGGCTGACTATTAGTGGATGATACAGTCAGCTAATGCACCCTTTGTTACCTGAGAACTCAGCCTGAACTGAACTGTCGTACTGTTGAACTAGTACTAGTTTGGTGCTGTTCAGTTGTGTCAACATATTCTCATTATCAGTTCGTATGAAATCGTACGAAAAGTTATGCACACTATTTCGTACGTTTTGGACATTTTTCCTCAAAAATACAGATCAGTGCACATGCGCTGGCAGACAGAAAAAAAAGCAGATCAGCGGAGCAGATCAGCGGACGGACGTAAAACTGGGAAAAACAGTGCAATAATCACTTATTCATGTCTCTAACTATGTTGCTTGCTGTTTTATATCTTAGGGTTAGGGTCAGGGTTAGGGCTAATTGTAATTTATATTCTATGTTCGTGAATGGTGTGTAAAATGCGCATGCGCATACGACGAAAAAAACGTCCAGTTCATACAAACTCATAATGAGAATACACTGGTTGTGTCTGACATGGTCTGATTCAGATTGCATGCCATTTACACTCAACAGTTATCTCGGTTACCGTGCTCTTACCACTCTCGGCACAGTTTCAAAAAGGTAGAGTAAATGGGGGAAAAAACTGTGCTTGTTCACTTACTTAGGTGGGCTATTATGAGTGTTTATATATTGTGTATATATATATATGTATGTATGTATAAATATCTATCTATATATATATATATATAGATATATATATATAGATATATATATATCTATAGATATATATAAATAAAACGACAAAATCCTTCATCTTTACCATCGACAGGCTGCAGCCACGTCTCGAATTCCTAATTTTCTAGCTTCTTTTCATCCAGCTTTACAATCAATTGGAAGCAGTTCCACGCCTGATATATCTGATGAAATTGTTTTTATAAACATTTTTTTAAATGCCACAGATAATCCTATTTAATGAATTTTAATGCGTTCATTTAAAAAGTAATTATTTATTTACTTTTAATGATTTTTAATGAACCCCTAGGTAATGCAAGGCAATTCAGTACAAATACAATGCAAAGTGCTTTAAATGATTAAAATATACAAAAATGAAACTGAATCAAAGCAAGTAGGAAAAAAATAAATAAATAAAAAACACAGACACAAAAAAACAACATAAAAAACAGTTGGACTAAAGAAAATAAAAAAGTTGAACTAATGATGTTTCAGTTGAACTGTTTAACTAGAACAGTTTGAAGGCAATCCTAAACAAATGTATTTTTAGTCTTGATTTAAAGGAACTCGGGCTTTCCGCACTTTTACAGTTTTCTGGAAGTTTGTTCCAGATAAGTGGAGCATAGGAACTAAATGCTGCTTCTCCATGTTTAGTTCTGGTTCTAGGTATGCAGAGCAGGCTGGAGCCAGAAGACCTGAGTGGTCTGGAGGGTCAATAAACTGATAGCAAATCTAGGATGTATTTAGGTGCAGATTATGACGAGGAGGGGCCCCAGGACAGAGCCCTGGGACACACCTGAGGTGACGAGGGAGGGGGTGGATTTGAGGGTCTTCAGTTGAATGAACTGAGTATGGCCAGAGAAATAGGAGGTAAACCGGTCTAACGGAGTGTTAGTGATGTCAATTGAGGAAAGCCTGCTGAGGAGGGTGGTTCGTCAGATGGTCTCAAAAGCTGTACAAAGGTCGAGGAGGAAGAGGATGGTGAGTAATTCAGTGTCAAATGCCATTAAGGAGGTCATTAGTGATTTTGATGAGAGCTGTTTCAGTGCTATGGAGTGGCCGCAAACCAGACTGGAACTCTTCATACAGGCTGTTGGCAGATAGGTAAGAAAGAATGGGGTCGGCACCAGGTTTTTTTTCGCAATTGGGATGATGTCAGCGGTTTTGAGAGGTGTAGGGACCGTTCCAGTGGTGAAGGAGGTGCGAATAATAGCGGAAACTAATACAGAAACATTTCAGAAGATAAAACTCCTGACAATCTGCTGTCTCTGCTGACTCAGTTTGACTCATCTTATGCAGCACGGTCAAGAACAAGCAAATATCTGCTGTAAAGACTGTATGAATATACTCAGAAGGAAAATATGTTAACACAGCGCTTTTATAGCATGCTGTAAACCAGCATGCTGAAGTAACAGAAACTATCACTTCACAGCACATCAACTCAAGGCACTTTACAAAGGAAATTAAATCATATTATACAGACTTCGTAGAAACTTAAAATTTATAAATATTAAAACCATTTTTATGAAATTTACTCACTCATAAAAGCAAATAGGTTTGCTTTTACAATTATTGTATTTGCAAATAAATAAATAAAGCATTCCTTTGCAAATTTGTTCAGGTCTCGTTAACTTGTTTTAATAGGTGGGCCAAAAACAATCAGGATTTGGATCATCTGAGCAAAACACACATTTCCACACATTTATTGCACCCCCTTTGGCTTGCAGCAAAGCACAAATCGAATTTCTGGTGGCAATCTTTCACCAATGCTTTAAGAAAATGTGGATCTGGGGAGCTTAAGTAAAATACACCAAAGTTTTAGTTAATAAGATGTCTGATCAAGGGTTATTTTTGTAGTGAACTGTGAATCTTGGCCTTCACAGTTGGTATAAATGAGCAATCACTAAATAAGTGCAAATGATGACATGCAAGAAAATAGCTTATAGTTATGCTTATGTAATTATAAATGAGAGCTGTGTGCCAGCTGTATAATGAACTATAGGTCACAGAGGATGAGGGGGAGTTGTGTTAACACAATCCCCTCATTGTTTGCTTCTCCCTTACAGATGAGTCATCTTGTACTCACTCATAAGAGAGAAACTTATTGACAGTTAAGTTCAGAGAAAAAAACTTAATATATGAAAACATTTCTACCTTTTTGAGGCGGCTCTGCATCAAATTGCGGAAGACTTGAGCCACCATCAGGGCGATCCCGCTGACCAGCAGGAGGGCGCAGATCGCTCCAACTGCGTAAATTGCGCAGGATCTTCGCGTCATGGTTGCAGATGGAAGCAAAACTGAACTTTGGAAGGATGGATGGAGATATTCTTTTTTCCTCTTACACACACACACACACACACACAAATGTGAGACTATATCTCAAACTGGCGTTGATTTCCACAGTGATTTTAATTCACTTTGCACTGAAAAGTTGAGCTAAAGTTTCGAAAACGGCGCGCGACAAATGCCGGAGCACGAGGTTCCCCGCCACACGGGGAAGTCCTGCTGCGAGTAATGAAACCACGCGACTTCTGCTCCGCGTCAGTCTGAAACACATGAACTCAAAAGTGAAGCAGAGAGTATTTGTAGCGGGCCAGAACATCTCCCTCCTCCACGCGAGCAGCCACTGTGATTGGTGGAACAAGTGGGAGCGCAGTGGGCTGAGGACGCTCCTCTCTCAACGCAACCTATAATAACCTTAAACTCAAACTGTAACAATAAACCCCCCCTCTGCTCAGTCTCTAACTTCCCTCTACTCTATGTTCAGCTGGGAGGATCAGGTCATCAGACGCAATAGATATATTAGACATAATGCAGTGAGTAAAGTTGACAAATCAACATGTTTTCATGTGTGGTTCTAGATGGGGGCCAAAAGGGTGCCAGTACCCCTGTAGGACTGGTCCTGGCCCCTTTTATGCCCCCCTGTTCTGAAAACATTTATTGCAAAATTTAAAAAATAAGTCAGGTTTTCTTGAAATAAGTGTAACCTTGATTTGGGCAGGTAGGTAAAACAATTTGCAGATGGAATAGGATCATTTATGCTTAAAATAAGAAAAAAAAACAGCTCTATTATCTAATTCAAAGTACATAGTATTTAATTATCGTGTTTTAATGGTCAAACTGTCACTTCCTTTGGAAGATCATATTAGTTACTGTTAGGGATCCAGTTTTTATGGATTGTTTTTGTGTTTTCTTTTTCCACCACTAGATGGTTCCCTGTGTTTGTTTGGGCCTCCTCGCACACCTGCGGCTCGTTGGGTCATCATCAGATGTATATATGAACAGGGGGCTGTTACTATCTCAACGCCAGAGTGTTTGCCAGTATTGGGTACTCTAGCCAAACTGAGATTAGCTGAGTCTAACATTTAGCCTTGTCTTTCTGAATCTAAGCTTGCTTTGTATTTGTTCTCCGGCAGGAAGCCTTCCTGATCCACTGGATAAGCCTACCTTCTACTCTATTATGTTTTCTAGAATGTTACACACAGACTGTAAATGATACATCACTTGGACCAAATAAATATTTTGTCATTTCAATTTGCATAAACAAATATTTAGAAATCACAGTCAGCTTTAAGCTAGTGTTATACTAAGACCGGATCACAGTTTTCATGTTAGATCAGGAGTCTTCAGCCTTGGCTTTGTGGCTCTTTTAATATACTACACAATGCACTCTTGCTCCGCTATAAATTTGTTTTGCACCTCAGATCTGAGGGGAGAGGTTACATGTAAACAGATATCTTACTTCAAAGAAACAGTTACAAATGGAGTCAGCCCTCATTTTTTATAAATCAAACAGTATTTTCTCTAAAAACATCTAGCGTGTTTTAGATAATGCAATACTGGTTCACTCATGCTGAACCTGATCAGATAGTTGTTTATGTGGGTACAGCCTTTTTTAATACATCCCAAAAACAAGCACTGGAAATATGTTGCCTTGTACACAGCATACCCTGCTTTTCACTTATATGGCTTAGGAAAAACTGACTTGTTTTAAGATCAAATTTAAGTAAGGTAAATCCTATATCTAAACTAAAATAAATCTTGATCTAAAGCTATCCTACTCTAAAGCAATCTAAAGCTGTACTTTTTACTCTTGCAGTCTTTGCATCGAGGTTAAACAAAAGTCATCTATTGAAGACTTCCTCAAAGTGTTAGAATACCGGTATATTAATATGTAAAAGTTAAAAAGTTCACACTCAAAGGGTGGGAAGATAAAGCGGTGCATTTCATTTAGGCTTTTCTTTTTGTTATCGGTTTGATAAAAGTAAAAAAGTGTATGTTCCTAAAAAAGCAGACTATTATTTTGTTATAATAGGTGTAAATCTGTTTTGCTAATGGTTAAATCTCCTTTTTTCATTGTTTACTAAGTTCATGTGGTTTCCTAAACCTGACTTATTTCACCATCTGAGTTAAAAATGCACCCCTCCTCGAACCACCACCTGGGCTGAGGTTGTGGTGGAACGATAGCAGTCAGAAATAGTTGTGCTCCCCCCCACACATATCGTGGGTTCTGAAACCAAGCTCCTTGAGAGAGGCAGGACTCTTTTCTACTCTGGGAGGGACTGCTTGTCTCCCCCAGCTCAGCGTCTCATGTTTGAGTTTACCCCGGTGGGCGAAAGGGTTGCTTCCCTTCGCCTTATGGTGGTGATGTCTCTGTTGTTTCGGCCTATGGGTCGAACGGCAGTACCAGGCCATCTTAGTATCCGTGGGGGGCGTGTTTCATTATCAGACTTTGTAGTCGTATCCTCTGACCTTCTGCAGCACGTCTTGTACACTCAGATGAAGAGTGGGTGGAGCCGTCCGCCGACCACCACCTGATGGTGAGTTGGATGAGCTGGAAGATGGGGAATCCAGACAGACTTGGCATACCCAAGCAAGTAGTAGGGTCAGCTGGAAACATCTGGCTGAGCACTCAGTTTTGTGCTTTTTGCAGAGGATGTGGTTCTGCTGCCTCTCTCCTGATAAGACCTGATAAGACCTACAGCATGCACTGGGGCGGTTCACAGCCAAGTGTGAAGGTGCCAGAATAAAAATCAGCTCCTCCAAATTCGAGCCCATTGTTCTTGACCAGTAAAGGTGACCTGTCCCCTTCAGGTTGGAAGAGAGTTCTTGCCTCAAATAGAGGAGTTCAAGTGTCTTAGGGTCCTGTTCATGCATGAGGGGAGGTGTAATGACTCGATGCCATCAGCTGGGTTTCCCTCAATAGAAAACTTTTAACCAATCTTATTAGATTACTCGATTGAATTGTCTCTGTAAAGTGCCTTAAGATGACATGTGTTTTTAATTAGAGCTATAGACATAAACTGAATCAAATTAATTGTTTATTTGTACTTAACCATTAATATGCTTATTATTTCCTAAAGGATATTTACTTCAAATTCAAACATCAAACTCTTTTACTGACCAAATGAAGAGTCCTTTTTCATCTTTCTATAAATAGGCTTTAGGAAATGACCATTGTCCTACAGCAGCCACCTGTGGTTTGCATTGTATAGCAACTGCAACCTAAAAATCCTGGAAACAGATTTTTTTTCATCTCTAGACATTAGCTGTATGGTCTATATAACAGGAAGAGGTAACCACAAAGCTCACTGAACCTCAAAACCATGTTTCCTTGCCTTTGTATGAAGAAACAATGCGGAGGGTATATTGGGTAAACATATGTGCCTATATGAGCAGTTGAGTTTAAGATCTGAGAGAAACCATGATCATTGGGCCGACAGCTGTTATGTTGTTTTGTAGTTTTTGTTCCAAATGCAGAATCACAATCACACAGCTAACAAGTGAATTTTTATATTTTATTTACAAAAAATATTAGAATCTGGAAGTGGAGAATTGGAGGTGATCAGTTGAGCTTTCCGGTTGGTGTGAGGAGAAAGCAGACTGATCAGGAAGGAGTTGGTTGATGACAACTAATGCTTACTGGAGAGATGTAGGGGAGGTAGCATGGATCTGTAGCAGTTTGATTCAATGGGCTTTGCAGACTGAACCCCAGAGGTCCAGGGTTGATACTTGAAAAAAAGTCATTCTGGAGAACTGGTGGGCAGGTGAAGACTGAGAGCTGCTGCACATAGGTAAGACATTTTCCATGAAGATCAGAGACAGACTGCAGGTGTGCTGGTTCTCTGGAACAACAACAGTGTCCACATTAAAAGAGATTCACAAGAAGACATCAAGAAGGATATTCCTGCTTTAGGTCTTTGGCTGGAATACCATCAGAGGTAATCATCTTGTGAAGACAGATGATCCTTCCCTCCTTATATTGATTGAGAAATGTTCTCAGGTGTGCATTAACATGGGTTGGACCAGCCACAATCAAAGATCCTTTCTTTGACAGGAAGCTCACTACTAAACAGCAAGACTCCAGAGACCCAGTAAGTAAGCATTTTCTTAGTTTACCATCTTTATGCAATAATGCAAACCATCCTTCGTGCTTCCCCCGAAAGGGAAAATGTTTCCGAAACATCATAACTGGTAAATGGTTTGATCCATTCTGACATTGTGTATAATAAATAAAAACTTCATCAACAATTTACTGTATCATAAAACAGCTTTCACAGTTTCTTAGATCAGAACCATAACCTGTACTGACTTTTTGTAGGACCTTTCCCCTAATTGTATGGCCTGTTCTAGTTGTGGTCTGTCTACACATAGTATTTTGCTTAGGGGCCAAAAATATTCACTGTTGGTCTCATTGGAATAGAGAAGCATCCTCCTCATGTTTTCGTTTGCCATAAATGGTTCGTATCATTCTAAATGAGGTGGTTCAAAAAAAAAAAAAAAATCACTTATATCTTGCTTCTCTTTAAAGGTTCAATGTGAAATTCTTCCTAACATTAGGCTGGTATTTGGTGAATTGAGAGAATTTGGGCTTAAAAAAAAGGGTTATGCTCTGGTTTCAGAGATATCTCAGCTGTTACTCTAGAAAAACTGGATTTTGCATCCTTCCAGAATTATTACCACATTTTAATTATAGTTTACTAGTTAGGTAGTTTCTTTAGACTCCAGTGAAATATCTTTTGAAAGTATCAGAAAAAGGGAGTTGAATACATGAGTGGACAGCAAAAAATGTAAATCTTAATAAGTCAATTTTTCTTAAAATAAGTGCATTTTTTTCAAGAATTGTGGAAGTAAGTGAGACACTTTGCCAATGAAACAAGACAATTTACATTTAAAATAAGAGAAAACTATTTAATTGTCTTATTTCAAGTGCATATTATCTATTTATCTTATTCTAAGAGTAAAACACTCATGCCATTGGCAAATTATCTTATCTTCCTGCTCGAAATAAGGGGAAATGCACTTAATATAAGCCCTTTTTACTTATAACTAGATTGTTTTTGCAGTGCATGCACCACACTTTTTCAATTTTCATTTGTAGAAGAAAACCATGTACCCTTTTCCCTAATCTGCAAAGCATGAACTATTTAGTCTTTTAGATCAGTGGTATCATCGGGACCCACTTTCCTAATGTTTTAGAAGTGTCTCTGTGGTGGCACACCTGCATCAAATGATGGCACCTTTAATCTTTGTTGATCACCTTTAAGTCAAGTGTTTGGAGACAG